GAGTGTCTCGAATGCTCGATATTCAGGTGGTCTGGGCAGTACTACAGACAAATCAGGGGTTTAGCCATGGGCCAACGGTTAGCACCTGCGTTAGCCATAGCCTATATGTCGAAGATAGAAAAGCCCGTGCTTGACCGTCGGCCTATCCTATATTGCCGATATATAGACGACTGCTTCATCGTCTGTTCGTCTGCGAAGGAAATGGATACGTGCTTCGACCTTCTCAACAATCAAGCGGACAATATTAAATTCACAAGGGAGAAACCCAAGAACAAGTGGTTACCCTTCTTAAACGTCCAGATTCAGCTTGAACGAGGGTTTTACAGGACCAAATGGTACCGGAAACCCAGCAACAAGAATATCATAGTCCATTTCCTATCAGCACATCCGTCAAAGACCAAACAGGCAATCACGAACAACATGTTCAAGACAGCAAAGGCAGTCGCATCAGAAAAACAAGAAAAAGAAGAATCAATAAGACTCGCCAAGGAAATAGCGGTCTCGAATGGTTACCCCCAAAATCATCGATCCTACTCTGGACCACCCAGTAGGAGATCACACGGTCAGACAAGTGATGAAGCCTCGGACAAGGTTCCATTCTGCGTACCCTTTGTGTCTGATAGAATCAGTTTGGCCATCCGCACAGCCCTGCGTAGGTGTGATCTCAGCGACGTGGTACGCCTGGTTGAAATCCCTCCCCCAAACCTTAAGCAGCAACTAGTTCGTAACCGCGGCTACGATCGCACCTGCGTTTCTCCCCATTGCATTATCTGTCCTACCGGGCGGGAAGGGGACTGTATGACCTCAGGTGTGATCTACCTGATCACATGCAAAAGCTGCGGGGGCGAATACATCGGGGAAACTGGGCGCCCTCTGTGCGCCAGGGTCAAGGAACACCTGGACGGACTGAAAAGATCAAGGCCAGGGACCCCCCTGGGTGCCCACCGACTGCAGTGCCATGGAGGCGCAGAGTTTGAGGTGACTGTAAGGATTTTGATGACCGAACCGCAGACCCCAGCCCGCAAGACTCTGGAGGCCTTTTGGATAAACGCAAAAAGTCCTAACATGAATAGGAAAGGATGAATGCCTCGCCATAACAAATGAACTCGCGCCATTCCTCGACCTATGCGGGCTTCGATCGCCAACGGCTTCATGCCGACGGGTCAGGTCACCTGAAGCCACCCACCGAAGTCAGATTAGCGGTGGTCGTAACACTACCCGGTCGTGCAACTAAGGTGAGTCCTACGAGTGTTGGTGATTTGCGACGCCCATCTAGATGCCTTTAGTCTAGGATGAATTGTTTTGAAGTTCTGAAATGGTGTTTGGAGGTTAGGTCGCACTTATCTTTGACTTTCCAGGCTCTGACGAAGGCGACGAGGCCGAAACGTTAGCCTAATAAAGTGATTATAACATCTTGGTCACAGCTGCACAATTATTCGAGATCATATCGTCAACATGCCAAGATTTATCGAAAGTCGCACATGGATGCTATTGCAACAGTGTTACATGAAGCGTTAATGACAGACGGGGACATATTAGAGGCCGAGAACCAGCCAGAAGACGATGCAACCTTCTTCGACAGTTTCTGTGCTTCCAACACCAGAAATTCTGACAGTTCGGGTGTGTGGGGAACTACATAGAAGACTCGTATGACAACATAGACTTGAGGTAGTAGAAGCTGACGAAGACTCGTCAGAGCAGAATCAGCCGGTGAGACCCGAAGCGCCTCCACAGAATGTCGCTTCCAAATCTACCCAAGTGTGGTCCCAAGCGCACATTGGCTTTGTCCCACGGAAATGTAAAAAAAAGTATATTTGTAGGTGCTAATTAAACTTCCGATTTGTATTTCCTACTCATTTGAGCGGAGATGGTATGATAGCAACAACCGCCAACATGATCGCTTGATCACTCAGGTCAAATCCAGCCAAAATTTTATAGATGATTAGCTGATGCTAGGCGCGATGGCTACTACACAATACACATCGATAACCAAATCCTGAAAAGACTCGTAATCTAAGTACCTGAATGCACTTCCACTAGAAGGCTAGAGCCCGTAGAACGAACTTATTGTGAGTTCTCACCAAGGATTGTGCTTGATTCTACGAAGGGGCTCATTGAAGCCCAGTTGCCCTCATCTTCACACTTAATCGGTAAACTTGGAAAAAATTTCATCTAATCGCCATAATCCTACATATGGAAGAACAATAGGCAAACAATCTGCTGAAGGCAATGAAAAGATCATTGCCAAAAGTAAACTCATGATACGTACCATGAACTCTATTTCCTTTAAGGCACGTCTGACGGATTAATGCACATTCATTATTGCGTATGCAATATCGTCTTACGCGCATCCTAGCTCTCTCAAAAGAACGCAACTATAGAGGAAGCGCATCGCAGCTGGGCGAGGTGGAGATGATTGCGCATTCGCAGCGGGGTGCTCGGAGCGAAAGTTGGAGGGCGCAAGCACAGGTTCTCAGTCGCGTGAGCGGCATCACCTTTGCAGCTGCGGACTTCGCACCCTATTTGCGGAAGGGCTTGTGCCACCCCAACCAGTCGTGGGGTCTGCCTTGAAGTCATGAAACCAGTTACAACCGCCTAGAGTAGGGGGTAATACGTGTCGCAAAGAGTAACACACAGAACCTACTATTCGCATTTTAAAGACAAGATTCGGGATAAAATAGGTAGGTGGAAAAGCGTTCAGTTATGAAGCTATAGGTGGGAGGTGGTCTGTAAAAGAGAAGGAAAGCAAACGAAACCACCGATTACGCCCCGTACAGAGACCTCCCCTATTTCAGCCACATTCCACCTTGGGATAGAGAAGAGGCGAATTGGACGAGTTTCACGAACCTAACTCTACTTGCTCCAGTGTCAATAACATTGGATCGCGCTGGGACCGCTGCCTCAAATGCGCCCGCGCTTTTCAAGCAGCGCCACGTGGCAACCGACAGCGGAGGGTGGGGCTTGCGGACGAAGGTGTGAGTTGCGGGTCGGACGAGCTCCTTGCGCCTTTGTCGCGCACTTTCAAGCCGCAAAAGGGGCGCGACATCAACACTTGTCCACCTGCCTACTACCCCCTGGATGGAACAGGCGAGCCCGCCTGATCGCGGAGCGTGCCTTTAAGTAATTCGTTTCAAGGCGATGATGCAACCAAATATTTTACTTCTTCAGTAGCGCAAGTATAAAATACATACTTCTATCCAAATCGTAGATTTCCACTTTGGCGTTCCTTAGTGGCGTTCCTCCACACATGAGCCGCCCCTTCACTGCCACACCTTGCTTGCGAAACGTGAAGCAAAATCCGATTAAGGTACATAATAACAACTTTGTAAGCAAATGCGTCATCTGCAAAATTGATTAAGGTGATCTAAATGTGATCCTTGAGAGAAATCGCTGACAATGCAAAGTATTTCCGAACGCACTTCGTCCACGTCATGACAAAAGACTGATTTAATTACTTTAGTGACATATAATAATTAAGCAAAAGCGCGGCAGAATTCTGTACACTGTGTTCTAACAAGCTCTACAACGTAGATTACCATAATCAAAGTTCGTGTGGCAATCCCCTGGATGGGACATTATCTCCTAACAATGCTGGACTAGCACGTACAGATCGTAGCAGGTGAAAATCAGAAAAATTAAATGAAGAGCAGATCCATAAAGAAACTGCCGTTCTGCCTCCAGTCACCACGGCTCGATTCTGTCTTCAGGGCTATCGAATTGCTCAAGCGGATGAGGTGTAGTACTAATGCGATGGCGAACAGCTGATCTGAACAAATAAACTCGAAACGCCGAATCTTAACCTTTTAAGGTCGGTTCAAAGGTTAAATGTGCTTGGTAAAGGAATATATTTTGGAGAAGTCATGATTCTGTTCAAGTTATATGAGAGTTCCGCTGGTTTCTACTTCGGAATGAGTCAGTTCATAGCCTAATGGTAAGTAATTTTGGGCACTTGCTGACTTCGTAGCCTTAACTACGTATCACCGCTCCTGCTCTGTCGCCTGTCGATCAACGTTCGGGACTTCGATATTGGTCCCGATTGCACATGGCACCAGATAAAACTATATTTAATCGTACAAAGATGTATTGCGAACAGATCATCAACCTTTTCAGAGAGTTTGAAGTTCCCCGCAAATTACCCGTGTGCGCAAGGCATGTTTCCTTTTTTCTGATCAGACAGAATACCTGTGTGCTCGAGAGCGATGTCTTCTTCTCCTGGTGATTTGCTCCACTCTTTCCTCGCTTTCGATGATGTGAGTTTCCAAGTTGAAGACGCCCAAATCAAACGTTTTCTAGAATGCTGTGCATTGACAAAAAAGAATAAAAACTTCTCTTGAAAGCAATAGTCGAGATCGAACGATGCGTTATTTTGTTTGGAGATCAGGCAAGAAGCGCATTGAGGAACCTTGAAGGACAAGAAAAACCCCAGGAAGACATTGAAATTTCCCAGTAAATCGCCGCGGTATGACAGAGAGACAGAACTGCAAGGAAGGGGAAATTGCGAGAGGTCACGTTATACGTGAGAGGATGCAGACGCCACGTACCCTGCGATTGGTAAGGTAGCACACAAGGGAGGGGGAGGCAAGGCAGAAGGTCTTAACGCCGTTGCCCTGCACTTTTGAGTCGCGACTATGTCGAAAACTGATTAAATAAACTATTGAATAAGTTAACGACCAGTACTAAATTCCTGATAAGCTGATAGAACCTCCCTTTTGAATGTGACTTGAAAAAGAGAAAAGCCTACTTTCGGTTTATCTCCGTCCTCGACGTATCTTATTGGAAGGCGAAATTTCAACATCCGTCGTCCAGCCTGAAATTTCAGTTTGAGTTAGTTAGTTAGTTAGTTAGTTTGAGTTTGATGTATGGTATATACTGGCACCTAGTACTTCCTCAATTGAGAGTGAGCAGAAGTTTTCAACCGAGTTTTCAAAACGATGTGTAATGTCCAACGCGGACAACCACCTAAAGTAACGTAAGTAACGTTGAATTACGCAAGTAGGTCATATATTTGCGAGGATTTAAACAGCTAGCTAACGCTAGCGGTTAGTTTTTCTGGTTCTGTTCTGTGAAAAAGCCGGATCATCTTTTTTCGTGCTAGTTCTGTTTTGCAAGAATTCTTGTGGCGGAGATTGACACAATTGTTTATTTGCCCCAGGGCCAACATCCTCAGTGTATTTGACTATGGATTTTCCTTCATTTGCTTCCTCTGTTCAGAGTATGTCTGATCCAGCTCCTAGATGCCGTTCTATCACTCAATGGAGTAAGTAGGGTTCCAACACATATGAGGGTGGTATTGCTTTATCGACTTTCAGAAGATTTCCTCCTCATTGCTGGACTTTTCGCCGAGTCCCCCGTTCACGGTTGTGTCACAATACCCCGTCAGTTATCACAATCTCCCTCTCTGGGCATACCGGTTTCGTTTTCCTTAGTAGTATGATAAGCCTAGGCCTATATATTGCAGGTTATGGAAACTGATCAATCCAACCCAATGCTCCGAATGCTCCGCCATCCCCCCGCTCATCCGGCTGCCACGGCAGCACCATGTAGAATGAGACTGAGTGTGCTCGATCGGTGTTTATATAGCCGCTGTGGGTGTTATCATGATCATGACATCAACATCACGAAGTGTTGCCCTTCGTACTCCCTGGTTTTGTGAGCGGTCGGTCCGGACGGACAGAACGACACACACACACACACCGACAAACCGACACACCAAAGTTCTGGTTATATAATAACTACATCACTTTTACCAGATTCAATGTTCACATTCCTAAGTCTGCAGACTAGGTAATACTACTCGTCTACTGAGATCTGTTTCGCCTTCGATTCGATTCCAGTTCTGCACTTGGAGAAGAGCGGCCCTCGTCTTCAGATGTTTCTCATTCTGAGAGTTTTTGTCGAGCCATTACCTAACAAAAAGCAAGAATCAAACTACGAATGTCGGAAATCCTTTCCATCAACCACCTAGACCGCCACCAATGATTAATAGGTCGGACATAGAACACCTAGAGAGAAAGCTCTTTCAATCACCCACGTCCTTTGTAAAATAGTCGTACATTCGATCCCAGGATATGTAGGGTATAACTTTTTTCGCTTCTCTGACAACGCCAGACCCCTTCTATGAAATTCGATCATGCTGATCTTACACTGGGAAAAATTCCTTGACTGTTGATGTGATGTGATACGCTGCTCAATTCTCCCCATGCACTCCGTTTTGATTTGAGCCGTACGTCTCTCTGCAGTTGTGATTGTGTACAATGCCACGTGAGGAGGTGTCGTATACATACGAAAACTCGTTATCTATCGAGAAATTGTTTGACTCATTCGTGAGGCATAATGAAGTATTGGCTGTCGGCAATACCTAAGCAACATTGACGACAACGTGGGGATATATTTCCCACGCATTCAGGCCATCTCGGACCGTGCGGGATATATGTGGGTTGTCTCATAAGTCCTGTCTCAATTTTGACACTTTTGTTTGTTCAAAATTTATCTCTTCCAGGAAGCAACTGATCAGCAGCATAACCACCGTCAGTGGTTATGCTGCTGATTAGTTGCATTCCTCATGCATTTGCTAGGAAACCTTTGGAAGCTTTCGCCTAGAATGAAGGAAGCTGGGGGTTGAAGTTGGAGAGAAGTCGTTTTGGCGGTTGTCGTTTGTGAATTTTTTCTCTCGCATATGCTGGTTAAGGACGCAGGAGAGGCGATGGTCTGATAAGGCGATGCCAGCGCTAGCCCTGGACACCTCCATCAGAACGTGGCGAGTTGACATTGCACTGTGTGGTCGGGGGCCCATTTGGAGAAATGAGATTCTGAGACGCTTCTGACGGTTGCCTCGCAATACCGAAGCCGGCCTGGAGGGCTATTACACGCCCACTTTGGCAGTGCTCGTCTTCATACAGCGTGGTTCCCAAATCAGGCCACCCAGCAAATACAACAAATCGAGAGTAGTATTCTCAGAATACGGAGTCGGACTTTGGTTGAGCTGGTGCTTCCTGGCTGCGAGGTAGCCATCGGGCGTGCCCCGTGTTGTTGTCGCAGTGGACTCATGATTCATCTCCACTGCCGTGAATACGATTAGTTGGGCTCTGCTTGCCGTCGCGCGAATTGAATGTTCCCCAGACAGTCCGGCGTTGCTCCTTGCTCGTGACCAGGCAAGTTTACAAGACCTTATTCTTCTGCAGTTCTTTCCATCCTAATGGGGTATGCTGCTGCATCGGCTACGCCCAGGTATCTGCTACGGTACCCTGGTAGTAAAGTCCGGATACACATTCCAATTTACAGTACAAGGAGCATTTATCAAAAGTGACAGCGTGAGGTTGACTTTTACGAATCGTTTCGCTTTTGCCGCTGCGATTGCACTTAGCTCAGAACCCTATTAACGTATTTCGCAATGGAACGGTCTCAGACAAAAGAAATTTGAATAGAAATAGAAATGAATAGAAGTGAGACAGGAATTATGAGACAACCCAATATATCCCCCGCACCCATTACACTCATTTTTTCGCGCACGCCTAATTCTTCTTAGAAGTTTTTTGTATTCACTCTATAGAAAAGCCCTCGAGGTAGCTACAAACAAAGTAGCCCCTTAGAATGGATCACGTATACTTTAATTTAGAGGAGGATCTCTGATGTCATTGGTGTATGTGAAGATACTGTAGGAGGCTTTACCTTTCATGAAATTCACTCTAGAGCGTTCTACATGCCTACAGGCAAATACAAGTTCTATTTCCTTGAATCTCTCCTTTTCATTTTAATGTTTCTATGTTATCTACGGTAGGGCACAATCATTGGTCAACCATTTCCAGCGACCTAACAACACTTGTGAGTAATATCGCAATATAGTAGTACCAGTTTCGCGCTCAGCTACCGTACGCAATATCCAAAGTCAGGCCTTGGAGCTTTGATGGCACAGCTCAACTCGTATCAGGCATACATGCAATGCTTCGCATATGCTTTGATTAAATGTAATTATCTCGAAGGCTAACCACGGATCTCTTTCACTGAGGGTCCTCTCTCACTGAAAGATCTCGAGCCGGTTGGTGGCGAGGCTACGTGGCGCGACCCCAGGTGGCGGATAGGGGGTAAATCGCGGACCAAAAGCCACCATGTACTTGCCCTGAGACGCAGGTGGATTCAGGGGATGGACTCCCTGTTTCTGTAGCGCTGTGTTGATTCATACCAGCTGTCTCCACTCAGGCGCATCCATGCATGCTTGCGTGTGTGGTGCGCTCTGTGTGTGTGCGGTTGGTATCCTGCATGTCGGCACAGCCAAAAGCTTGCATTCAAGTGACTGGGAAGTACATGGGAGGCGATTCGGGGCCGCCTCCAAGAAATAAGCCCCTTGTTCCGCTCCAGGATAGCGTGGCTAACTACCTGGAGGTCTATCCTAGCCCGCACGACAGAGCCTGGCAAGCTACTCGTGTGCCTTCAATATGCCGAAAACAGCAATATGGATGGGCCTCATTCCCCTGAACCTGAGGGAGCCCCCAATACGGCAGCGTTGGGTAGGACCGCTCGGGAGAGGCTGCTAGAATCTCAG